GAAAAAAGGACTTCTGAGTCTTAGAGGAATGTGTCTTCCCTTGTGTACAACTACATATTGTCTGACTTTTTACCTAAACGTATTATGACATCCACTGGATTTTTTTACTTGTGGGAAGATGACGTTATTTTTCCCAATAAGTCAGAAACATGTAGAGCCAACTTCTTTTAGGTTTGTTATGTGAAACACGCTTTTCGGAACCCTAAGCGGACATACAGAGTACAACCTCTAAAGACACACACGACACGCACACAACACACACAATGTCATACATACACACACTCCACACAACACACACACACACACACACACACCACACACCAACACACACACACCACACACACACACACACACACACACACACACACACACACCACACACACACACACACAACCAATCACGACCACATATAATGGTCTATTACTTGATATTAATCGTCCTCTTTGAGACGTTCGTGGGTTCGATCGACCGCCCCCTCCAATTACTCCTCACCGTTCTCACACTTCTGTCATTTTGTCTTTCTTTTTTATCATAAGCTGTTCAGGCAAATTCGCTCAAAGTGGCTGGTCTTTCTAATGTAAATTTGTTTGCGTCCAGAAAAGTCCCTAACTCCGCGATGTTTTTTATATTGTTGTTATAATATCGGGCATGCGCCGAGTCATCAACGGTATGTTCACCAAAGGTAATCATTCAGGATATAGTGTTAGCTGATTGTAAAGCGGTTAACCTTAGGGAACTTTAACTTGCGCGACCGACTTTTTTTATGTCAAAAGAGTGACGGGACCGGAATTGTTCTATTTGCGATCCGGTTTAATCCTAATATCATTGATGCATCACGGAATCGCATTCGTCTATGCACCGGCGGACCTATTGTTACGGTAAAAGTTACTTAAGTAAACTTAGACCAGTTATTGTATGTTGACACATTTTCGACTGCTTTACATTGTTAGATATCAGAAAACGGGTTTTGCATGGTCCCCTGAACAAAATCGAACTAATCACTAGTGTTTTGCCAGGAGTAACACACGTCCCAGGATAAATAGTCTTGATAGGAGGGAAATATATCGTCATTCGCGTTGTAGTCATTGTAGACCTCTACGAAGTAATAGTAGGACAGTAGGTGACGCCCATACAGAAGTGAAGAATTCGTCGTCGTTGTTTTTAGTATTAATGGAGGTTAAGGACGTCCTCTCTCGAAATAATTCGGACTGTCGTTAGTGTTATGACTAAGATTCGTTCACAGTACACTGGGTTGCTGAGTTTTAGTTACATCACAACGTGTAAGAGATTCTGAAAGTTTCATGAAAAAAGATTCTCTCTCTTTCTGTCCTGATCCATTTATATAAAAACCTGTCTGAAAATGAGCTGATCAGATTTTGGCCACTTTATGATGTCATAACAATTTGTTGGCTTGTGTAACCATTAGCCAATCACCAACCAAGGTAACACCCGCCCAATTTATTACCTGAATCTCCTCCTAGAGCACCATTGTGTTATTTATAACCAAATATGTCGCAGAGGGGCGTGGGGAGTGGCTCCTTATTTTCATCTAAAGTAACAGACAGAGAATCAGCACTTTTGAAACAGGGCTGAAACAGAGGGGTTTATGGGATGCTACAATGGGTGATCTGTTTGGTATTTCAAGCCAAACACTTCAGAGACATGTTTTGTATATATCTGACACCTATAATATATTGATGACAAACAGTATCATAGGGGACCTTTAAGTAGCGTTTTACCATTGGATTTATAATAATGGAAGACAATCAATTCAATTATACATGTTAGCTGGCACAGCAAATGCCGGTTTCTTCCAACAGTAAAATAAAAAACCTACTGCTCAGTGAACACAACACACACGAGTGATATCTGAAAAACATACCAGACTGCATAAATCCTATTTTACTGTGCATGCCAAAGATGGAGGTGATGTGTAACCAATCAGCCACCAGCTTGCTGTCAATCATAGCTCATGTGTGGAGGTGGGCCGCTCCACCAGGAGCCAGAGCATCTGCTGGTGGGCGAGGCCCCCGCGACCTGAACATTTATCGGTCTGATCAGAACATATCGGCCCATGGGTGGAATCTCATTTTAGCCCACTGTTGCTCTTTTCATGAGATGCTTTGAAATGAGCGTTGGTTAAAAGCAAATGTCTTATTCATCTCTGCTTTTCCACATGTACTGTAAATGTTGCCTTAAAACAACAAAACAAAAACGTTTCCTGGGTTGCTTACTATTCTGGGATTGTGGTTGCACCAGAGTATGACTTTTTGGAAACCATTCCTAATAAGGCCATTGTAGGGCATGTGAAAGTAAATATTGAGGCGTACATCCAGATATGTCAGAGATTATGGGACAAACTGGTAGGCCTGTGTTTCTATAGAAAGATTTATTATGACAGAGTCCTCAGTTTTAACTTTTCCTGATAACCAGTAGCTAATCAGAAAGAGAGATATGAACATGGAGACGCAGATGGAGGCATTTCCTGTGTGGCATTGAGTTGTTGCAGTATTTTTGTTCAGTATTTGCAAAAGAGTACAAAAGGACTTCTGGGAGTCAAATGTCAACGTAATCTGTTCTTGGCCTCATGACTCACAAATAGTCAGTTAAGTGAAAAAGGAGTAGTACTTGTACATTTCTCAAAAATGATTTAGTTCTGGATGACTTGCTGTTAGTTATGACAGCACAAGTGTGCATGTGTTTGTATTATCTAAAAAAATAATTTTCTAGACTGGACCCTGATGGCTAAAATTACTGGATGGCAAATGAATCCAAGGAACTGCCTTCAGGTGCCCTTCTCAGTCTGGGGAGTAACAGAGTCAGGAAGTGTTGCTGCATTTAGGAGAATTTCCTGTCACGTCCCATTCACAAAAATGAATATGAATATCAGCTGGGCAGATACAGAAGCTGCAATTTTGTCAATATTCAATATCAGGTAGACCCATGATACTGAGTAAAATGCATATTCTACATATACTGTATCCTGAGGGAATGTTGTCATGGAAACATCCTGTATGAAATAATTTGATTTGTGTGCACAGATACACTCACGTGCCTCCATGTGACACATGCACAGCACACACACACGCAGTACTGTACAATGAGCGGGGCGGGGGAGGTCTCCATATAATAAGATAAGGAGTTATATTGGATTTCATTTGGGCAGACAAGGATTGTCCACAGAGATAATTCTGTTATCAGAGAAGTGGATGTTAGCATTGATGTGTCCGCATCTTTCTGTGCTCTTTTCCAAGACATAGATCCACTTTATATAATGCCACATTTACTCAGGGACACTGAATGGACGTTTGAGATTATATTGCTGTGTCAAGGCATTCACTCTGGGAAAAGGTTGTTTTTTCCCGCAAATGGAACACTGGTACCCATGACATTTGTTTTTTAGAGAAACATCTAAACAAATAGATTAGTACATATCTGCATGGTGTCAGGACGAGGACAACACAAACATTGAAAGAAATGCGAAACTAATGACCTTCTCATCAGTCATTATGTCTCTCAATTCTTATACTTCATGTAGTACATATCCTTGTACACATTGTACATTTGTACTGGGTGGCTCAGATTGCACACAGCTGCTGTGCCCTAACCAGAAATCACAATTGCAGCTATTAGCAAACTTAGCAACGGTGTTGTTTTCAGAATCAAATTGAGATACAGCTTTGGCGTTAGGTGCCAAT